TCTCTGTTTCCAAAAAGCGCATTTTGGAGAGCGGGGGGTCCCTCCCTTCGCGAGCCCCTCCACCCCATCATAAGCCCCCCACGGGCCCGGTTTCAGTCCAGGGCGTCTCCCCGGGACCCCCTCCGCCCCTTCCCCTCCGTCGACCAGCTAAACATTCACACCTAACTGCAGCAGGGAAGAGCTCCTTGCCCCACCCCAGCCATTCCACAGATATATAAACCCATTTTTCCTACTTCCAACAGACCTCACAACCTCTGAGGATGCTTGCCATAGATGCAGGTGAAACGTCAGGAGAAATGCCTCTAGAACATGGCTCTATAGCCCGAAAAAACCCACAAGAATCATGCAGATATTGTTAATGACTGTATTTCCCAGTATTCTCCACCACTGTCTATAATAGCTAGGGCAGCTAGGAGTTGCAATTCAGCTTTATCTGGAGGGCCACACGGTTCTCACTCATAAGAACTCATTAGGTATATCTAATGATATATATTGCACCCTATTGATTATTTCCTCTAATTAAATGAACACAATTTCCTATTACTTTCTGATCTAAACAGGATTGTTACAATCACAAAAATAATTTCTATGTCTCTGTCATTTACAAACTAATTTTGAATTTCAGATGCATACCCCTATAACCAGTATCTAAAGGGAAACTGGTTATAATATTGTGGAGAACCTTTTCAATTGTGGTGTCCAAGCTTGGAATTTTATGTGAGCAGAAATGAATTTGGTTCCCTCTCTGATATCCCCCACCCCCATCATTTGATGACTTCTCTAATTTGTAGGCATTTGACCTCTTAAACTGTTTGAGTTTTAGTTCCCCTGAGTTCTTAGTTTTCTTTAAAAAAAAACAACTGCCTACATATTATTCCATATAGTTTTTACAAATTAGCCTTAATGCATTTAATTTCACAGTGAGGTGCCATGGGTATCCTCTTTAATTGGAAAGTCACGGTTTGAAATATTGTAAAGTAGGTCACTGGCAAAGATGTTGGTTTTTCACTAGAAAATTAAGCACAGAAAATGCCTACAGGGCTTAAAGTGAAACAAGAAAACTCCATTGGCAATTAAAGAGTTCTGCATATTTTTATAAAGTTAATATTAAACCAGCAAAGTGTGTGAAGATTACAAATTCAGGGTGGTGGTGGAAAGGCATCAAGAAAGCTATGCTGTTGAACATCTATTTTTGTTAATCTGCTATATACCATCCTAGCCCCAATTATTTTAGTCAGATTTTAAGAGTTTTGAATGGATTTAATATGTTGCACCCTATTGATTATTTCCTCCAATTAAATGAACACAATTTATCATGTTTTATGTCATGTTTATTTAAGTTGGTTTTTTTATTTGTTATATGTTTCACTGGCATTAAATGTTTGCTATTGTGTTTTATATTGTTGTAAGCTGCCCTAAGTCCCCTTGGAAAGATAGGCTGGGCTATAAATAAAGATGATGATGATGATGTGAAATGAGTGCTAAAAGAGTAAACTAATGGATCCTTCAAATTTCAGCTACTTGTAATGCTTGACAGTTCTGGGACCCAAAAGCAACTTCTCAAAGAAGTGATCTTTGATATTTATACAGCGAATATTAAATATATATGTCATCCTATTTCTGAGGAGAATATATCCTTCATAATACAAATTCAATGTGAGTTTCTATGGTCATTATTTTTAGTACTGGAGAGGGTTGATCTCTTATAACAAAATACCAAACTTATATTTGAGATGAAAACAAAATGTTGTATGTTTTCATTTCAAGAAATTATGTTTTGGGTTAGTTTATATACAAAGGCTAGAATTCCAATTGTCAGAACAACTGAAGCATCAACTCGGAAATATGCATCTTAGAATAAAGTTGACTTTTTTTACCAACCTCCCACAGAGATGACACCCACATGTCTCCGTCTACTGTTCATCTCAGGACCAAAAAACCAACTGTTCTTGTTTACTGAGTAGCATTCAATACTGCGAAAAGGGTCACCAGATCCACCTCGACCACCAACACAGAAAAGGACACCTAATAAGAAAGATGCAGTGGTTCAAGGTAGTGACATGAAATTCCGGCAGTATTTTGAATCCGGAAGAACATTATTTACTTGTATCTTCAACAAAACAAAATATATGGAAAACTGGGGAGGAAAAATAGCAGGATTAGTATCCTTTACTTTGGCAACATAAAGCATATTATGTTTAATTTTGTATAGCATAAAAATATCACATTTGGAATATTACAGTTTATTCAGATTATAAATAGAAATGGAATTTAGTTGACATTTTATTTTGTGTTACAAATACAAGGTCCTGAACTGCACATGAACTGTAAGCAACATCTTTGGTTTATGAGTCAAGCAAAGACAAAAAAACAACAACAAAGAATCAACATAAGCAAATAAAAATGCTTTCTCTCCTCCTGAATGAACATGTTCTGGCAAAGAAACACGTAGCAGAAACTAGTCTGTTTGGTTGACTTATTTTTCCTTGTAACCATTTAACACTAGCAGTACAAGGTGAATAATTCTACCCAAACAAACTTTGTTCAAATTAAGCCAATGTTTTTATAGTATAGATACAAAAGTTGAAAAAAAAATATCCAGTTCAGCCTTGAATGCAGATTTGAAAAAGGTAATATCACTTTTAAATGTTACTAATCCTATCTATTCATAATGACGACAATATGCCAAAGGTAATGTTCAGCTATACTGCTACAAAGTTCAACAACAGACAGACAAAATCCAGCTTAATTTTACTATTAAACTCAATGAAAGCAGATGATATGCATTTTAGGTGGTAAAGTCCTTTGATATTTGAAAAGGGTGGTCCACAAAATGCCTGCAGCCGCCAATAATTTGAGCCTCCTCAATGCTTCCTAGAGGCTATGAAAAGTTTGGCCCCATAATGTGCTCTAGGGGACATGCCCGGGCAATTTCTTGACTTCTTCAAACACACCCAGGCCATTTACCTAAGTCTAAAATAGCCCAAGTCTCTCAGCAAAAATGGCATATTACTTCCATGCACTCAGGGTATGTTGGCTTGAACTGGAAGAAGAGGGGCCTATGAAGGTCCCCTTATGAGCCAACGAAGCCCACAACACCCAACAGTTGTCCACCCCTATACTGTATAAGGTCACTCAAATACAAATACAACTGTGTGATGCCATGATTTTTTTTTTCATGTCAGAAGTGACTTGAGAAACTACAAGTCACTTCTGGTATGAGAGAATTGGCTGTCTGCAAGGACGTTACCTAGAGGATGCCCGGATGCTTTACCATCCTATGGGAGGCTTCTCTCATGTCCCCGCATGGGAAGCTGGAGCTGACAGACAGAAGCTTACCCTGTCTTGTGGATTCGAACTACCGACCTTCAGGTCAGCAGTGAAGTCAGCACAAGAGTTTAACTCAATGCACCACAATGGCTCCTTACTGCCATGATGGCTGCCTATTTCATACATATTTCAATTAGCCAAAAAGAAATCTGCTAGCTTGGTTTACACAAGAAAACTCAGAATAGCTCAGCTCTTCCTACCTATGAAAGTATCAAACTCTGACATTTTCATGCGCACCTTTCTGAGCACAGGGAGTCCCTGAGTTACAAACATCTGATTTACAAATGATTCGTAGTTAAGAACGGGGATAAGACAACAGGAAGTGAGAGAAATCTACCACTCAGAAGAGAATTTCATTCCTGAAAGAGTTATTCTGGGAAAAAGGTGTCTCCACTGAAGCTTTATCAAAAAAATCCTTGTTTCCAGAACAAGCCATTTTTTTTTTTTCAAAATCCAGTTATCACAAGCACACACCATGCAGCATTTCGGGAGGAGGGGGGTAATGAATAGAGAGCTGGGAACAAATGGTTAATTCAAATTAATCTATTAGGCACGCACCGGTCCCACTGTTGAACAGGCAGATTTCAAGAAAAAGATGAGCTGAAGCATTACCTGCAGTGTGCTTCCTTGGTGTGGTCCTGACAGAATATTCAAAATCTGGTACTGTATGACTGCTCAAGTGAAGGTGGTAGTTTCTTGCTTCATCCAACAAGTCCCTACATTTTAGATTCTGTTTGACAATCTCTTCTTTTGCCACCACTCCCATAAGAAAGCAAATGGGTAACAGAGGCAGGCGTACCTAGAGACAATGCATTTAAATGAAATGGAAATTATCAAGTCCTACACTAACATGTAGGTGCAATGCAAAATATTCAAAGCTACTGAAAGGAATGATAATTTGTCTGTAACGGTCTCATACTGTAAGGCACAAGGCTTCACTAGTAATACGCTATGCAACTTGATCAACTGAGGGAAGTATCGGCTTATCTATTTAAAATGGCTGCAGAAATTAAAAGTGAAGAACTAGCCATGCGACAAAAGGTTTCTTTTTAATCATTTTTAATCATTTTAATCATTTTTAATCATTTTTAAAAAGGTTTCTTTTTAATCATTTTCATTCTATTCGAGATAAATCTTGCCTCTTCTGCTTTGTTCAATAACTGGATGGTTGGAACATTGCAAAACTGAATATATTTCATGAAGTTGCAAGAGCAGGTTCAGGGCATGTCAGAAGTGTTGTGAGGCACTAGACAACCGGAATCATAAGAACATCACATGGAAATCCTAGAGAAAATGGACTACACCAGGCATTCAACCATTTCTGGTTGAAGGTCCTCTTTTGTAAAGGCCAGTCATGTTAACGAAGCAGTTTGGGACTTGTAACAAACATGAACAGCTAGAGATATGTTCCTGTTGCAGACCTTGATAGCAGGCAGTACTAGTACATATGTACTAGTGTCATTGGAACACTAGTACATATGTGGCACAGTGGGTTAAACTTGCTAATCGAAAGGTCAGTGGTTTGAATCTGGGGAGTGGAGTGAGCTCTCGCTGATAGCCCCAGCTTCTGCCAACCTAGCAATTCGAAAACATGCAAATGTGAGTAAATCAATAGGTACTGCTCCGGCAGGAAAGTAACAACTCTCCATGCAGTCATGCTGGCCACATGACCTTGGAGGCATCTACTGACAATGGCAGCTCTTTGGCTTAGAAATGGAGATGAGCACCACCCCCCAGAGTTGGACACAATTAGACTTACTGTCAAGGGGAATCCTTTATCTTTTTATTAGTGTCATTAATGCAAATTAATGAAGCTGCAAAAGCCTCTTTGAGTCTCTTTATGGAGAGAAAAACTGAGTATAAACTTCATCATCATAATCACCACCACCACAACAGTCATAACCAGTAAAATGCCCTCAAAGATAGAGGGCATTTTACTGGTTATGGCTGTTGTGGTGGTGGTGGTGGGAATCCAGCTATGCACACATTGTGCGCATGGCTGGATTCTCCATGGACATATTATAAATTTATATCCCATGTCCCTGTTAGTAGAGAACGGTTCCTTGAGAACCCATACAAACATATAGTTGTTAGGTTGCAGAAATATTCCACAGGTGCCATAAGAAAGTGACATTAGTCTGAGTATTACAGCTTTTATTCATTTACATTAAACTAATGGCCCATTTATAAATGCAGAATGATAACTGAGGACTGCTCCAAAACAAAGACTTCAATGGAGATACATTGTCACAAGTGCAATGACATTCAAGAGAAACAATTCCTGCATTCCGCTGCCAATTTTCAAGTACTGTGTGATGACAAGAAGCGGATGTGTGCAAGCTAGTCCGTCTATTTTAGTGCTTGTGAAATTACTGGTATTCAAAATGCCATTACTGCTAGTGCTTCTAACTCCAATAGGCAGAGAATGCAAAAAGGAAATGTTCATGGATTCATCCTTTACCCCATATACTCCTCTAATTCTTACCTGTGCAATTATTTCATCTAACCATGTAGCATGATGCTGTGGATTAGCAAGGAGCCATTTAATAGCAGCACGATAAACCTGCTTTTCACTCTCAATGCTCAGATCATTTGAAGACAACAGTTTATGCAGGTGTTGAGGTGACACACTCACAAAGTCTTCACACTCCACGACTTCAGCAAAATGTTCACAAGCATAGCGATCCGCCATGTCCATCAAGTCAACCCGGTTGTGACTTTCGGCAAAAGCCCTCACTGCTAGGCAATTTGAAGGATGAAAATGCAGTTTCATGTACTCACAGCAAGCTTTGGCCACCACTTCCACCTGGAGAATGCAGGCAGCATATAAGAGAGGCTGGACATTGTCTACTGTCAAAGTCAGTCGAGATGAGTACACAAACTTGACTAAATCCTCTATGGCATCACCATCGAAGTCTTTGATCTCAATCAATGACTGCTTGGCTTCTGCCATTTCGGAAAGAAACATGGCTCGGAAGTACGGAATAACACAAGCAAGTACAAGCTTGTGACAGGAAATCAGTTTCGACCCCACCTATTAAGAAAACATACATTTGTTTTAGTAGAAACTGAGCTATTTTCGCATAATCCAGAGGTTAGTAACCTGTCCTTCTCAGGCTTATAGGAGTTCATGGGGAGGCACAAATATAAAAATATTTTCTTACACTTTCCTTCCTGTTATTGTCAAAATTGTGTTTTAAGTAGATTTGGGAGACCATAACTTTAATCAGATTCTTAAAGCAGTCAATGCCCTCACTCTTCAAACAGATTAACAACAAATGTTGAGATCTTTAATCTGGGACCCTAGCATATTTTTAAAAAAATTTCAGAAGAAGATGCCAGAAACACAGAAGAGTTTTAAAATCCAAGGCTGTCAAGTTAACAGGATACCAATACTAGTATTTTTATTTTATGTAATCAGATTATCTTTTCCATTTGTAAACAATGCTAATTCCTTCATCTCTCTTGGGAAGGGGACATGGGGACACTGCTTTGTGCTTATAAGAAAACACTCTCAACATATCAATTAAAACTATCAGATGCAGACTTGCAATCTTTTGTGAACAACATCACTTTCATTTCCCTTTGCAAAATATTTCTACATGACCTTTACCAATGAACTTCAGTTTTTTTCCTTGTTTGTCTAATAAAGGTATTGCCAATGTCTATTCTGGGTTTTCCATTACAAACTGCCAGCAATATAGTCTACAAATTAAATATGTACCTTGAGCACATGAATTCCCCATGTTCAAAAATAAATTATGGTTTTCTATTAGATGTGTACTGTAATATAACATACGTTACAGTCACATCAGAGTGCTTTGCTCAAAATGTTTTGCAAATAGTTTTAAACCATAGTTTCTCTTCACAATATTTAATGTCTTTGTCCCAATAAACAAATATCTGATTTGAAATGATATATGATTTGAAGCAGGGCACATATAATATAAAGTTATGGCTGAAACTAAAAAGCCTGACAGTAGTATAAAACTTATTTGAAAATCAGAGATGAGAAATACTCTCCTGGGGATAAGCAGATTGTAAAGTCATGGTGTGTAAGGAAACAGCACCATTAGATCTGTCACACCCATAAAATTATTGTTGAGATAAGTTTCCAATTGAGCTATTTTTATTGCCTGCATGAATTATTTAGTGATTTTTTTCACAGCCTACATCATGAAGTTGCTGTCACTAAAATGATTGTGTCCTGTTTGCAATTTATTACTACATGTTTTATCCCATCATCTCAATCAGATAATCTTAATTATTTATAGCCACAGTCATCCAAGAGAGTTGCTTCCCAAAATAAGCTCATGGAAGTAACTGAACAGCATATAGCTTTAGAAAATGTACTGCCATGAAACACACAGAAATAATTATATCCAGTCAAGATCTCTAAATTATAAATTAGGTAGACCTGGTGTACAGTATGACCCACAGAGTGGCCTGAATGTACACAGGTTGATTATCTATCAATGAGTGACAAGTGGCCAACACATATACATAACGGATATTTCTGAAGATAAACACAATAATGGTTTGCTTTCTATTGCATAGTCACCCTGGATGAAAAAAACCCTGAAGATTAAGGTAATTTGATAACACAAGTATGAATTAACAGAGGCACATGTGGCATACATACCTCCCAAGCCCTTTTGGAGCCCATGATCCTACCCAGGAACCTCCCTGTAACCTTGGTAATATAGTATTTTTCCACAAGAATGATGTTTCCACATGTCAAACACAACTGTTCTGTGATAAAATTGGATGTAAATCCCCCAACATTGGAGAAATGTGAAAATCAAACCAAAAGAAGAAACCAAGGCAATTCTGAATTCCATTTTTAAATCATTACATAATTTTTCACTCAGTCAACAAGAACTGCCCTGAAGACTGTTGCTCATACCCCTGATAATAGTTACTAAACTCCTACTTGAAGATTAAATGTTTGGAGTATCAAAATTTATAATGTGTTTAATGCTAAACATTGAATAATCCAACATTCTTATGACTTCATTTTAAAAAGGTTGACTTGCTCACTTTGTCATTTTTCTTAGACTTTTTAAAACTAAGGGGAAACATTTCCTATGATTCTGTTTCCTAACAAACACTTCAAAAAATCATAAAAATTTACAAAAACATTCTTGAGAAACACTTCAAAACATGTTGCAGATACTGAAGAGTCTGATAGACAAAACTTGAAAGAAAATGTCAAAGGAACAGGCAGAAAAAAAATTAAAGACTTAAAATATATACAACACCATGGTTATACTGTGGCTTTTAAATGCTAGCTTCCATTCAAAGACTCTGAGAATGTAAAAAAAATCAAATACCAAACTGAGCAGAAACATTTGAGACAAAAATGACTATATTTTACAAGCTGACATCCATGTGTCATATCCTTTTCATTACCACCATATTTTCAGCTGATAGACCCAGGGCTAAAATGCTTTTTTTTTGTAAAAACGTTGCCATTACCTTTATTAAGTCTTTCTCCATAATATGTCAGTGTACCTCTTGGGAGAGATTTATAGCAAACCACTCCAAGAGTTTCATCAGTTGAATTACATATTAATTTCATAAATAAAGAATTGAACAGATTTGAATGAGCTTCATATAAACTTCTCAAAAAACCATTTGTCAAGCTAGATTCTTTAAAGGCAATTGCAGATTCTGCAGCAAATTCAAAAATGATGGGAGCTGAATTCACCCCTTTCCCCATGATCCACAGAAGGAAACAGGTAAAAATACTAGTGTCTTCCAAAGACAGCAACCATATCCAGGGCTTTCCACCCTTTACTTGGATGTGCATTGCTGAGATTAGCTAAACCCACTTTCAGTGAGGAGAATAATCATAAGACTTGAAAACACCACATAGATCTTTCCATATTAGTTATACAGCTAGAACACTAGAACTAGGCTTTCATATGTCACAGCCTGAACTCAGAAAAGTTATGCCCACTGGTTATGTTGACTGGACAGATCTGGCAGCTGTAGCTCCCAAAGGAACTTTTCAAAGTCAGAATATCAAAACAGTCAATTCAAGACAACATCAGCTATGCTAGTTGAGTGGGTTAAAATTGGCACCGTGGGCTATACATGTATGCAACTCTGAACTAAAGGAAGTGACTTTCTCATTTGAGCTCATGACCATAATTACATAACAGTCAAGCTTCCCACACATGCCAACTGTTCTGCAAAACTTGCAGTACTCTTAGCAATTTTTTAAAAAGTGCAGAAACATGGCACAATGCCAATTCACAAATGCCAACAGTACCTGGTAAAAAAGCAAACCCACTTTCTGACACAGAGAAAATTGGTGTAAAAAGATCATAATTTGAACACAAGAAGTATGAAATATGTATCATCACCTTTAGTGTAACATCACACAGTTCCCCAGCTTCATAGAAGCGAAGGAGAGAACTGTGGAAATCCTTCCAGGCTTCATTTGCTTCAAACACAAATGTCTCTTCTTCCGCATCACTGTTCACAGGCGACCTTTCATGTTGCTGCTGCCTTTTCCCTTTAACCACACGGTGTTTTGCTTGCTCTGGAATCATAGAGTCAGAAGCCATTAGCTGCTATCTCCTTCCAAATCTGTTGTCAATCTCCATAAGACGCCAAGGCAGACATTGTGCCAAGCAAATCAGATTAAATATCCAGTCCTGAGTGGAACCGTCACTTTCTGATTTACTGTAGGAAAGAGAAAAAATATTCTTCAGTAGAAGCCTTAATTACATATTATCTGAAATACTTTACCAATTTTTAGTTTGCATCTTTGAAGAGTCTAATGTACAAGCCCAGTAAATAGGAGATTATGAACAAGCCTGGCAAAAAACATTGTCGTGTCTTACAACAGGTTGGATCCGACTGCTAAAAGATTTGCCTAATGTTACAGTAAATAGTTTACATTAAGTCACTCAACACTTTTGGATCCAACCAAATGCCTTCCAGTACTTCTACCACAAACAGCTTAAGTAAATAGATGCTAGGAGAAACAGATACTGAAATAAATGGAGGGAAAAGTTGTGGTAAATAATCAGAGTTCTCTATCTCTTGGCAGGTAACATAGATCTTGAATATCTCTCTATCCTTGTTACAATTACTACTTGAGGAAGAAAGGGTAGTGAAAAAGCAGTGTCCTTCTTTGCATGAATGCTGCCTGTAGAACTGTTCTAGAAACGCTGTCTAGAACAGCGTTTCCAAATCTGGGAGTTGGGACCCCTGGGGGGGGGGGGTCACAAGGGGATTTCAGAGAGGTCACCAAAGACCAGCAGAAAACATATATTTCGGATGGTCTTAGGAACCCCTTTGGCAGAGAAGGCAGACGATCTCTTTGCCCGTCCTTTTCCTTTTTGGAAACAGATCGTCAATCCTCCCACCGAAAGCCCTCCTCTGCTGTGATTGACTGGCCTCTCAGCCAAGGGAAGGGCTGCTTCTGAGGCTTCAAGCGGGGAGGGGAGAGCAAACATTCTGGGTGCATGGCAGCGTGGTGCAAATGTGCGGGTGAGGGAGAGCTTGCGAGGCTGGAGGGATGCTTGCACCAGCAAGTCCCTTCAAGGCATGGAGGTTGTGTGTGGTAAGTTTGGCCCAATTCTATCATTGGTGGGGCTCAGAATGCTCTTTGATTGCAGGTGAGTGATAAATCCCTGCAACCACAACTCCCAAATGTCCAGGTCTATTTTCCTCAAACTTCACCAGTGTTCACATTTGGGCACATTGAGTATTCATGCCAAGTTTGGTCCAGATCCATCATTGCTTGAGTCCACAGTGTTGTCTGGATGTAAGTGAACTACAACTCCAAAACTCAAAGTCAATGTCCACCAAACCCATCCAGTATTTTCTGTTTTGTGACTTGTTTAATTCAATTCCATCATTGGTGGAGTTCAGAATGCTCTTTGATTGTAGATTACCGTATATTCCGGCATATAAGACGACTGGGCGTATAAGACGACCCCCAACTTTTCCAGTTAAAATATAGAGTTAAGATGACTCCCACGCATAAGACTACACCTGCGTATAAGACGACCCCTGACTTTTGAGAAGATTTTCTTGGGTTAAAAAGTAGTCTTATACGCCAGAATATACTGTAACTATAAATCCTAGCAGCTACAACTCCCAAATGACAAGATCAACCCCCCCCCCCAACCACACCAGTATTCAAATTTGGGCGTATCTGGTATTTGTGCCAAATTTGATCCAGTGAATGAAAATATATCCTGCATATCAGACATTTACATTACAATTCTTAACAGTAGCAAAATTACAGTTATGAAGTAGCAACAAAAGAAACAGTGGTCTAAAAAACACTTGGTTCTAAGTCAAAGTGTTATAGACTGATCTCTTAAATAACTCAAGATTCTTGTGAGTATTTTTAGAGTCAAGACTTAAGATGCAGAGTATTTCTTTCCCAGGGTGAAAAAAAACGTTTTTGTATCAGCACACAAATACAACTCAGCCACGAATTTAATTGCCATGTCTCTATGCGATAAAATTATGGGAGTTATAGTTTTTACAAAATCAATGGCCTTCTCTTCCAAAAAGTGCTGGTCCCTCACCAAATTACAAATCCCATGATTTCATAGCACTGAGACATAACTAATAAAGTGGTGTGGAACTGAATTAATTCCATAGTGAAAATGCACCCCAAGAGACAAAATAGGATGTAGGAATCATGTGGTTATATGGCAATTAAAATTTACATAAATTGTGCCCAGACCACTCCAAACCATAAATGCAGTATGTAGAAAGTATGTAGAATTAATTTACTCCACAAAACTCTTTAAGCCACCCCAAAATTATATTCAAACCTCCAAGGATGTGTCCGAAAAACTGGCATATCTCTGTATATATAGGCAAAAAGCATAACAAGAGCAAACCATTTATTTTAAAACAGGAGTGTAAAGGGGAGGGGACCTCTATCAGGAAAACCTTAAGGATTACCAGTACAAGTTTGGTGCTTTTAACCCAAAGTGCATGATTCTGTCAAAAACTTTGGCCTAACTACTTCTCTATACTAAATCACCTGTAGTAGGAAAACATATGAAGACCCTTTAAAGACTGAAGATCGGAATGGCAACTGTACTGACCTGCATGTATAAAGAATAATCTTATCTCCCTCACCATTTTGGAAGATACAACATTTAGTCTTTACATTACACATTCAGATTCACTTAATATGAAAACTACCTTCTCTTTCCTCCTTTTCATGTCTCAGTTATTACTAATTCTTCGCTATAAGTAAAGTACTAAACATTATCAAACAAACCACTATTCAATTCCCGACCTCCATTTAATATTTAGCATTTTGGGCACTTTAAATACTATCAGTAGTTGTAAGAGTACTACTTTCCATATCACATGTATGTAAAGACATACAAGAAAATACAAGAAAATGAACACTGATCCCAAACAATTCAAAAATAACCTGTATCTGTGTATTCTGAATACTTGTAAAATGATTGACATGAGAAATTAAACACACCTTGAAAAACATTAAAATGAGAACAACTTCTAGCTTTTGTTTTCAGACAGACTTTTCTATGAAAAGAGTACATTTTATCTTCTATAAATAAACTAAAACCTGCCAACTAGACGTTTAGAACAAGTCATTCAAAATGACTTAAGAACCTCTCATTTTACTCATTATCTCACCCACAAACATTTTAAAAAACTGTTGGGTGCCATGACATGAGACCTGTAGGTCATTATTGTCCTATAAACATTTATGTTAGAAGCAAGCAGTCAGATCATTTGAAATAGTTTTTTAAATGCGCCACTCAGCATCTTATGATCTGTATACTCTCCTTTCAAAAGGCAGCTGATCACTTCTTCCACCAATCTGGAATTGGAAAGTTCCCTCTAATCTGATCTCTGCACATTAGAATAATGATCTTTAGCCACTTGAAACTTCTCCAAGATGCTAAGTCTAGAAAGTTCAAGCTGTTTTTCAACAATGCAGCAGTGTTCCATTCCTTTCTCAAACAGAGTACAAGCGCTTTTCTTTGTCAACTAAAATGGCATTCTTTTCATTTCTAAGCAAGGAGTCAATTACTAGATTCATAGGTTTTAGTCCCCATTGCTATACCAACTGCCTAGTCTTGTAGTCTCTCGGTTTAATAGTAAAAATTAAAAAACACCACAGATAAACCTAGTCACATAGTATCGAGGCAAAACATGTTGGCATTTATACTGTGATCCAGTTTGTGACTATTTTGAGAAAGTTCATTGAGGGAGGGTGATGGAATACAGTTGGTCCTTTGTACCTATGGATTCTACAGCCATGGTTTCCACTATCCAGGGCTTGAAAATATTCTCACCCTTCACCCCCAAACTCCAAAAAGCAAACTTGGATTTGGCCATTTTATATAACCAATACAATTTTGTTACATTATTGTTTATAATGGAATTTGAACATCTATGGATTTGGGTATCCACTGGGGGAGTGGAAGACTATAAGGACACATTGCACCAATTGGGAGTGCAGGGCTGTAAAAATGGAAAAATAGCAAATACAAAACTGCATATTTTAAAAATGAGAAACTACCTCTGTAGGAATCTCTGGATCATCTACCATGACTCTATGGTCAACTCTATGGCCAGAAGGTGACCACAGAATAACACTAGAGAACCTACAGATTCCTAGAGAAGTGTTCTCTCTAGTTCTATCAGTATGGTAGAAGGTGACCACAGAAGTCACACTGGAACAAAGAAATTCCAAAAGAGAACATTTTAATCAAATCTGCAAAAGTCAAACCTACAAAAATGGATAACCAACTATACTCTACATTATGAAACTATCGGCACTGAAAGAACCCCCAAGGAATTGAATGGGTCAATGTACTTTTAAAGAAAGCTTTAAGAGGAATTTTCAGATTGTGCAAAGCCAGCATGATATAGTGATTTGAGCACTGGATGAGGACTGTGGTGAATGGGGTTTGAATCCCTCAGCCATGGAAACCTTCACATTCTCTCAGGCTCAGAGGAAAACAGTGCTCACCTCCCCAAACAAATCAATCCAAGAAAACCCCGTGATGGATTCACCAAAACCTGGAACTGATTTGAAGCCACACAACAAAAAAATATTTTGAAAAGAAATCATCATTATATATGGAACACCAAAGAAATCTCAAATAAACTAAACAATTCTATGCTCGAAGAAGCAGGAAACAAATGCTGTTGAGACAACTGATGTTTGTATAGGTGAGGAGAAAAACAGAAGCTAGCTCTATTCTGCAACTTACATCAATCGGATTAATTTCCCTACATTTCTTCATGCAGCTGGAAATCCCAGTTAGTGCATGGGCCCTAACTGCATGTAAAAAGTGTTGTGTATATATGCAAAACAGAGAACAGTGTCCAGTGCTGAATTCCTCCTCTCTCCTTACCATGAACTATACATGCTACAAGCCATATAGACAGCTTTAAAGAAGTTAAAGAAATAAATACAGTTTATATGAGTGTCTACATCCATTTCTTATTACACTGTTATGTACAAAAGACAGAGGAGAGGAATATAGCATGGCAGAAACACAGCACAGTCTCAACGTCTCTAGGCATAGAACCAGATCTTCTGCCTCTCTAACTCTATACTGCTGCTTGATATCCACCTCAATAGAACAGATATTTATATTAAGGTAATACTATACCAAAGAACAGCAAGTGTGCGCACAAGTGTCACCGTCAAATGGCAT